ACTTGACACCGGCGCCACATATAGTAAGAAGTTAAACTAAAAATAACACACGAACTTCTATATTGATCACCGTGTATAGTGTTTACAGTTGTGACTACCGCGGCGCACACGTTTGTTGCTAACAGGCATTGTTCTAGAACATTTCCTTTCAACTCGTTCATATCTTCTACTCCTCATTTCTCATTGCGCATCACATTTTTCCCTTCGTTTCCACCACTTGCTTTGTGTTCGCACAAAGGCACTGGACTGGGAAAATGGGAGCCAGCAAATTGCAATCAAACTCATTTGAATACCGAAACAACAAAAGCAACAAATTTAAACTGTGAACTATGCAGAGTGTAATGTGAGCACAATTAGTTTGGCATTGGTTTTGGTCGAAAGATCAATAAACTGATCGGAATAAATCGAATTTGTGAAAACTTTAATCGAATGTAAAAGGGATTGTGATTTATGTACTATTTAATTGAAAGCACCAGGGACGGGGTAGTTTCGATTGAATTTGGTAAATTCTCTCAAATATTTTCGAGTATGTTGAGTGCCTTGAGATTCATTCAATGGGAGAACTGTTCCAAATTATGAAGCTTTCAATAAGCGATTTTGTATTTTTGTTCTTCTTTTTGTGAACATAAAAATTCAATTAAAATTGAAGGAATCTCTTGACGTGACTGAAACGAATCCCTTGTAAACATTTTGTAAGGTGGTTTGTAGTGGAAAAATGATTTTCATGTCTTGTTGCAGTGTATGCGCCTGTATGGTGTGGTGAGTCGTTGTGCCATGGTCGGTACACGTTCAAAGACCGGTGATGCCACACACTCACATAAATAACGTCTGATCCGTAAATTGCTTTGGCATCGAAAATCGTGTTGTAAAGTTAATTAAGTTTCATGAATAGTGAATAGAATTGCAGAGAGAGAGAGAGTTGCATTGATAAAATAAGACGTCGTCGATGCCATTGAATGGGATAGGTGTTGAACTGAAGATTATTTGCATTGAAAAGCGACACAATGGCAAATGGTGTGTTTAGTTAGTTCAAGCAAATCCAATATGTACGCACAATATGTATCGGCTGCACGCACAGAGAGCGAGAGCGAGAGGGGAGGAGAACCGCATGCAAATATATTTGCCAGTGAAAATGGTGCTGCATTCCATGCCTGACACTCAGCGAACAAATGCATATCTTATTTGTTTGGGAAAAAGCGACGAGGCATTTGAGGCGCAGACGAACGGGTCGGACCAGGCGTTTGCCTACGTTCTGCATCTGAATAAAGCCATTTTCAATGTTAATTTCGAAATGTATGCAATGTCATTCATTTAGCTGAGGCCAGCCAGTGTGTTTATTTAGAACAAGATTAAATATGTTGGTCTCAGCTCCGAATAAATAAAGTCATTTGAGCCATACACATTCCGTATGCATGTGGGTATGCATGTTGTTTTTGGTGCTCATTCAGAGCACACACACACACACAGAGAGAGAGAGAGAGAGAGAGAGAGAGAGCGAGAGAGAAAACAAGACCCTTGACTACAATGTCGAAATGAAGCAATTTGGACGAAGCCTCAGAAACATGAACCATGTTTAAGAAACCGATATTCGTCCGCACGGAATCTCTCTTGTACACATTATTCCCATAAACAAAATGGCTTACTTTGCCTGGCTGTTGTTGTGTTCCAGCGCATCGTATCGAATTGCATTCATCGTGCAAGCGAGTATGTCTTTCTACAATTTTTCTCTCTTTTCCTTTACTTCTTGTTGCATGTCAATTTGGATCAGAAAAAAGCCAACAACAACAAGAACGCCAAAAGTTGTTATACCATACAAACTCTCAATATCGTACATTTTTGTGCATACACACACATACTCATACTCACAAAAATTTCGCACTCTAAGCACATTCACTGTCAACGAATCGGAAAATTGAAAGCATTCACACAAAATTTCCATGAAAATTAAACAATAAAGTGCAAACGAATACAAATGATGCAAAAACCGATAACTGAAAAACATAACTTGTGAAAATGAAAATGAATGCAAACGACTGGTGTATGTGTGTATGTGGTGTGTGTGTGTGTGTGTGTGTATGTGCCTGTGTGCAGATAAAATGGAAGACGAGCAGCGAGCACTGAAAAACTGGCACACGAGCTGCAAATTCACATTTAGCTAGCGTAACCAATGCGCACGAACGAAATGCATATAATATAAAATGCAGCAACGAGGCGATAGCAGTAGTAGCAACAACAACAACAGCGGGCAAATACGGGTGGCAGCGGCGGCAAAGAGAAGCACATTCAATGTGCTTGAACCGTGGGCCACGGCGAAACGAAAAAAAATTCACGGAGAAATCGACACAGTGAGAGAGCGAGAGAGCGGGAAAAAAATTACTACTTCGCGGTATTTACAATGAAAACGTGCCGATCGAGCAAATAACAATAACAAGCGAACGCCAAAATCGGATTCTATGCATACACACACACACACACACATGGTTGAGTGGGGAAGGGAGGACCAAACGATACACGAAAATGTGTGATCTTTATTTATTTCGATTTTATGCGCATTTTCTCATTCATGTGACTACCAATTTTCGAATTGGTACAAGCGATTGAATACATTGTCTCTTCGTGCACTCTATTTTTTTTGTTGCCGCTGCTGCTCCCTAAGCCATTCACTCTTTTTTCCTCATCCAAATACCACTAGAAGAAGAAAAAAAACTTCGATTGAGCCAATCTTTTTTACAGTGCAGGTTTTTTTCCCATGTCAGTGTTGTTGTTGTTGTCGTATCGCATCACACGTATGCAGTTTGGTTAACAGTTTTGTACTCTCCGGCACATACACACAAACACACGATTTATAGATAACAGCACAACAGCTAGCACAGCTCGTAACTTACACACAAACCGATCCCGAATTGAATCGGATTGCAATGCGTGAAATGACATACATTGTGCACATACAATGCAATTAGATACGTTTCATTTTGTACACTGTGTATGCAGACGGTATTGATTTGTCGGAGCAAACCACTTTGTCGCCGTTTGAAAAATTGTCATGATTCACATTCCTCTCACTTCGAATCTCTCCATTCCCTTTCCATTTGCGATCAAATTCGAAGAAGAGTCGATGACTAACTTTTGCATTGGCATGAGAGAATTTTTTCTCCATTTTGTGTTGCGCGCTTTCAATGCAGAATGAAAGAAATATTCGCAAAGTGTAAATCGTCGTTTGTTGAAAATCTTAAATTATGCCATAAAATATTCCAACGTGCACTGGCAACACGCAAGTTTTATGTGTAAATTTCAATTTGAATACGGTCTGGTTTTGGTTCAATTTGGTTTTCTCTTGCTGCTGCTGTTGCTGTCTGTTTGGCAGTGATCCATGAATAAAATGTGTAATTGTGTCTGATTTTGGTGTGATGCTTTGCAGAGCTCAAGCTCTCCCAAAATTAAAACAAACTTCATGAGTGCATTTTCCATTTCCACGTCATCTCAGCTCTCCAGTTTAGTTTGGCCAAAGCAACTTCACGTTAACGCAGTGTGGAGATGGCGAACGACTTTAGATTGAATTGGGGCCAGTTTGAGAGTGGCATTTGTAAATAAAACATATACATGAAGCGAAGGCGAGTGCGAGAGAGTGCGGCACGGAGAGAAAGAGAGATATCAAAATGCGAAAACAAGTGCAAAGCGTTTAAATTCAGTAAGAAATCTCATTTGGTGTTTTCTTTGCCACCGAATCTCGCAATTCCACGAAATTGTACCGCCATATTACCTACGGGCAACGATGAATGTTGACAGCAACTTACAGGATGCATTGTTTCAAAAACGAAGCACAAACAAAATGGGCTACAAGCTACAACGTATATCGTGAATATGGCTGCAGACAAGAAATGGCGAACAAACCCATGTACATATATAAAGTGGAGCGGGCACGCTGTCCGCTCTCGGCAAAACGGTGAAAACGGGAACTTTTGTAATGAATAAATTTCGAGAAAATGGAGAATTTATGCGCACATTTTTATGTTAGTAAACCAACCAGACCGACAATGAATATCACACCGAAAAGTGTGTGTATAAATGTTGATGCAGTAGTCGAGTATTGTCGCTGTTGTATGTTCGCCGTGTCGTTGTGAATGTTGCGACTAACGATACTTAACTCATGTGAATTCATTATTCGTGAGAGAGAGAGAGAGAGCGAGAGAGAAAGAGAGTGGCAAAAACGAGCTCCAACCCCTGAGATGTACGTAATATTTTTTCATGTTTATGTCGGTCGTCTTTTGCAGATGATGACCGAAAAAGATGAATGCCATTCAATGTTGCATGAATAAAGCTCGTCTACTTACGCTGCTGCTGCTCTTTGCTTTGCGTACAGCAAATCAGGACTCATTCAGCGTTGGTGCGAGGTTTCTCGTTGTTGGAAAATGCTTCAGAGTTGTTTATTCATTTGGTCATCTCTTTTTCCCTCACTCACCCGCTTGCTCGCTGTCAGCGTCAGGATGGTAAAAATCATGGAACATAATTGGCATAAATTCGTCGAAAAATTCATTTTATTTCGCCATTACTGCAATTGTTATTGTCATTAGTTTTCCATTCTTCCGCACCACCGTTGCCCATTTACTTGATGAAAATGGTGGGTCGATGTGAAACCATGGTGCGAACAAAGTGAGAAAACTTTCAATGGAATTGCGACGAAATGATTTTCCATTCAAATTTATTTTGACCTAATTACGAAAATTGTGAAAACATTCCAAGGAAGAGGAAACATTCCAAAATTCGGGCAGCAGCATGACCATCGTCATCATCATCAGCAGCAGCAGCAACAGCAGTTCATCTTTGCAATTCGGCGAACCAACACAAGTCGCTTAATATTTCATTTTATGACCTTTTTCTCGCGCATTTCCCATGAATATTTGTGTGTGCATCGTAAATTTCCAATTAACAAATTACATTTGTAACTTTGTCATTTTTCTGTTATGATTATTTTTCTCTTTCTCTCTCTCTCTCTCCGCCAGGATTACGGAACTTTATCGTGTTGGGGACAGAACGAAGTCGGTGTTCAGATTCAACCGTGTGTTTTTCAAATCGTATTAGCAAGTGAGTATACAAACGTAATTTTTTGTCGTTGAATGAATCTTCATAGAAGGAGATTTGTACCTTTTCATTCGGTATAACTGGTTAAATATGAAAATTCGACAAAGAAAACTCCATCTCGTGGATGTTATCTTGCTACTTCGGTCGAAGTAATCATTTCTTCATAAGAACGGAATTGCATTCGATGTCGTTGCATTTTTGTTAATGTCGTTATCAAAGGAGATTCACTGACAGAAAACAAGCGAATTTACCAGGAGAAAAAAAACCGCCTTCAATTCATATAATTTCATTATCGTTGAGATTGTCATAGCTTTTGCTTACGCAACACATTTGCGCAACCACAAAAAGTGTTGTTCCAAGAAAACTGATAGTACTGTCGTCACTGTAATCTACCGAATGTTTCATGAGAAATATAGTTCCAAAGATACGGACACTTCTATTAAAGATAACTCACACGGAACATTCCCCGGCATCATTTTGAATGCAGAAGCAACGAGTTTGTCTGTGTTCACATTTCGAAAACTGTATCAATGATATAGTTTTCTGGCAAAGAGAGCATTCATTTTGATTACATCCAAGTTGTGTGTGTGTTCAGCTGTTCAGTTCACGACTGAACAGAAACTTCAGCTCTTATGAAAATATAAGTGTTTGGCCTTGCTGGCGAAAATCCTTTGCAAGAGACAAAACAAACTTATTTTCTATTCAAATTTCATTATTATCACTCACAACAATAACAGGTAATAAAAAGGGTTATACGCGACAAAGAAGCGTCAACAAAATGCGCCAAAACAAATGCGAAAATCTTATTTTTCGACTGTGCCACAATCGAAAATGCGAAACTTTTCACGCTCGAAGAGAATCAAAGTAACCGAGATGGAAAAAGAAACCAAGTGAAGCAATATGAAATTTCATCATCATGAATATGATCGCTTGTTGCTTATGCTCGAATGATACTAAGATTATTGCTATTTCGTCGCGTGCACGGGCGTGCAGAAAAAGAAAGAACGAGAAAAAAAACGGCAAATAACCACGTTTATAGCTCTTCGAAGACGACGTGAGATAAAATAATATGCAATGCAATCATGAGATGATAAAAAGGAGAGAAAAAAAAACAGAATGAATCAAATACCATCGACACACACCAACAACACGACACGATTGTGATTTTCGACGCGCACGTACGTGAGCCAACAGCAAAGCCAAACGATGATAGAAACGACAACAAATGCGTTGTCGTACATCGAACACAATGCAAATTTAATTTAAAATAAATAAAACTTTATGTTCGCACATTACACGTCGCCATTCGTGACGCGCCAAAAATTCAATTGGTTTTTCGGCGCTTGGCCACCGCAGTCGCTTTCTATCAATTTCACATGCAAACAATTCTATATGCAAAGTTTCATTTGTGGTAACCACACAGCACGATCAGCAGCAGCAACGACAATAGCATGATAACCACAGCAGATGATATTAAAAAATTCATAATTCATCAGCAGCAACTGAAACATTATATGGATTGTGTGCTGAGTTGTAACGTGCCGCGTTGGCTGATTGAGTGGTCGTGACAAAGGCTCTGCATGTGTCTCTCTGTAACAAAATCTATCGATTTTCAGCAGAAGCCAACTAAATGAAACCATCCACAACAGCCTGACACCTAATCAAATTTTCCAAGCAATAAATTCTTTTACTCGAATGCCTCTCTCCCTCGCTTTTCGTCATATTTCTTTTCGCCTCTTTGCGTGCGGTGTTCGTTGGGCTAAAATGCTAAAACATGCCACAAAATAGAGAGAAATCAGACAATCTAATCCATTCTAGCTTAGGTGGTTGACGCAAAATTTATTCGAGCAATTTGATTCATTGCACGTTGTGCGGAATGAAGATATATATTTGAAATGCAAAGTCTGTGTCCGAGGCGACGAATAGAGACAGAGATGTCATTTAAAACCTTTTAATATTCGTCATTTTAAACGTTCTGCATAATAAATTTTTTTTTGCTTGCTACTATGTTCCTCTAGGTCTTCCAACGGCTGTTAAAAATTGCACATATAGCAACCAGACGCAAATTTCCGTTGAGATTCATTGCATCGCTGGCTACGATGGAGGCTTACCGCAGTATTTTGTGTTGGAATTGGTATCGGCACAAACCGGACGCGTGAGGTGAGTTAAAACTCAATTGCTTCGGTTGCGTATATGCATAGATTGTGGTGTTTTGAAAATTTGATAAAAATAATAATTTATCTGATTAAAACTTACTTCGCACAGATTTAACTTAACCAATTCGGAGGAGCCGTATTTCTTGGTCGAGTCATTGGAAGCATTACATTCGTTCGATAGTGTTGAGGATCGTACATTTCGAGTGGTTATCTATGCGATGAATCAAAAAGGTCGAAGTTCGAAGGTAATCCTCAAGGATTTACTCATTGGCGATCGAGATCATCATTCAGCTTGTAAGTGTTTCTTTCTCTTTCTTTCTCTATGCCATTTTTCATATCTAACGATATAATTATCATTGTCCTCTTCCCTCCACCACTTATCCGCTCGAAAAACTTATTGTAGAGAATTTCTCGCTTATCAAAAATATATATATTCCGAATATTTTCTCATTCTCACTCTCTCTCTCGCTCTAATCCATTTTCATTTTCAGCTGTGGAAAGTGGTGTAATGCAACTGTCGCCGATATTCTTTGGTATTTTATTAACCATCTTATGTCTGCTGTCGTATTGTGTGGTGCGCATTTTATGGAAGCGTTCACAACAGCATAAAACTGACGATGTCACTGATGGCTCGAAGCAATCAAGCAGTTTACTCTGTACAAGTGTTGTTGGTAATACGAATGGAACTGCCAACATTGCCAATCACACGGATACGATAACAAAGGTATGGTTGTGTTTTAAGCGTATAGCCTCAACTTTTTGACTGTTGTTGTTGTTCCCTCCCGCTCTGTTCTGTTCACATTTTGATAATGGCCTGTACCGGTGTGCTGTGTGTTCAAGTTTGTATGACGCAACCTACACGTTCACCTTTTATGCGGGCATCGTTAGTTCTGCTTCACCTCGGTTTTTTTTATTCTCATTCTAACTAACGATTATTTATACTTGCATACAGAGCACTTTTTCGTCGATTTATCCGCTGTGCGAGTGAAGCGAAAGCGAACAACAAAAGAGCGACAAAAAAACTAACCTGAACTTGTTTCATTTTGAAGTGTTGTTTGATTTTTGTATACGTATAAAACAATCTCAGCTTCGCGTCATTGTGTTTCTGTCTCTATGTATGTGTATATATGTGGACGACGTCGAGCTTCAGCAGAGAGTTTGAGTTTGAGCTTTTGTTTTCGAAACTTTACAGTACCAACAACAGTTTAGTCGCTTGCCGTGCATTTGTACACCGAGAATTTGGCTACTACAATTTTAGTAGCAGAGCCATTTACGGGTAACAGTTTTGCGATAATAATGATTGTAATAAGTGCCCCAAACCATCATATTCATATTTTATAAACGGATATATTTATTTGCAAGCGTTACTTCACCGCTGTCGCTCTTTTGCTGTTGGCATGTTTCAGGTTTTGTGTGTGGATGTGTCGTTTGAGTGAAACTCTGTTTGCATTCGATATTAAAATGCATAAAACACTGAAACTGCCACATTCAGTCGACGTAACGAGAACTTCTTCTTTGTCTGCTGTCGCTACTGCTTCAATAATAATTTGCGCATTACGTCTACTGACTCGTCTTTTATGTTGGCTCTTTTTTTGCGTGTGTTTGTGCACAAAATGTATAAAAGAGAACGGGATATATAGAGAAAATAAGCTAAAAATATACACATTCAGTATACTATGAGGACGCCATCAAACGACCGACACAGAGTGCAAAGTAAACAACGACGGCACACTCGATTAAAGTTTACAACATTGAAGAGAGAGAGAGAGAGAGAGCGAGCGAGAGCAAATTTGTTGACGTTGTTCATTACGCCTTTTTTCTCCTTAAGTAACAATCACAATATTCATATAAAATTATAGACGCTTAAACGTTATTATGTCACATTATGCATTATTTCTATTATAACATTCGTCACAAATGCATCATGTCGACAACGGCAGTGGTGATGGTGCTTCGGGGGCCTTCAGGTTAATTCAAATACGTGTACTCGGATTTTTTGCGAGACCGACAGTCACCAACAACTCGTGAGCGCTGCACGATCAACGAGTGAACGAACGTAGAAGAAAAATGTCACATTAGCGCTCCCGCAACATTGCAAACAGAAACAATGCACTTTTGCTGCTGCTGCTGCTGCTGCTGCTGTTGTATTATGTTGTGTTCTCCATTTGTGTTTAACGGCCAATGCCACTTCTCGCAATCATGCATCGCAACGATAAGCTCTCCGAAAATAACATAGCAGCAAAATAACAAGAGCCAACAAGTTCAGTTCAGTTCGTTTGTACTTTTCTCTCTCTCACTCACTCTCGCTCGTTCGTTCGCCATTTTATTCGATGGTTAACATTTTTAGCTATTTCGCTGGATATTTTTTTTTTCTCTGCGCTTTTATGCCGTTTATCCATTTAGCACTGAAGGTACTAAATCACAACTATTTTATGACTTTGCCTCTGTTGTAAAAATTAATTAAAAAAAGTTTCAGCGTAAAATTATGACTTTGAAAAAAAAAAAAAAAAAATAACAAAATAACAAAAAAATAACAAACAAAAGAACAATGAAAAAAATTATCGGTTTCATGTGTGCAGGTGCCCTGGTCGTCGTTATATTTTTTTTTAATGTTTGTCACAAATTATGCTCGTAAATTCATGTAAACTGAAAGATTTTCCGTTCATCGTTGTTGGTATTTTTTTGTTACTCGTCTTTCTCTCTCGCTCGATGACATGACTACAATTTTCATATATTTTTTGCCTTTTTTTTTCTTTTATCCGCTTCCGCATTAAAACGCAGAAGTACTCCAAATCCAGCCCACGATGGCAGTATAATAATAGTGGCAACAAAGACATTAAGGCTGCAACCGAATTACTCGAAGATGAACGTGATCCTGACGTCATTCCAGCACAATTTTGTAAGTTGATTCCATCCACACTCACACACACAAAAATTGCAAATAAAATAAACTTTTCCATTCAACATTGTAGTATGCAAATAAAAATTAGCACTTTTTTCGCTGTTTCCGCTGTTTCGAATTAAATAAAACAATTTTTTTTTCGTTTGTTTCATTCAACAAAACTTTTTTGTTCATTCTTTTTACTTCATCCGGTGTAAAGTTGAAATTTGTAAATGATTTACCTCTAACGGAAACGATGTTTTTTTCTCCCATTTTTTTTGTTGTTGTTCGTGCCGATGGATTTCCAGCCGCCAACGATATTTCACTTAGTAATTACAAAACAGAATGGTCGGACGAGCCATATGTAAGTAAAAATGAATTTCAATAGCAAAAATTCCGAAACGCCCGCCCAACTCGAAAAGAAGAAATGCATCGAAAAAATTCTATTTATTACAACACAAAAATCATGCAATACTTTAAAGCTCTAAAATTGTTTTGCTACTCACACACGAATTTATCGGATCGAGTATTTTTTTTTCTTTTTCGATGCAATTTCTAGCTTTGATTTCGATGCCAAATAAAACGCATTCGGCCCCATTTTTAATTCGCTGTAAAATCACAGGCGTCGAATAAACTAATTCCATGTTAAAGTCAAACGTGTTGGAGCTTTGCGCGAATATTAGAAAGCAATAAAAGTGGATTTTATATATGTTCGTTTGATTCCAATTTTTTTCTTCCAGTCCAGCTCTAATTGCCTTGTTTTATTTTCATTTTCAATAAAATGGTTTCCGCAAATGAACGATATTGGGAAATTAAAACTCCAGCGTATTCGCTTTTTTTCCTTTGAATAAGCCGATTTACATGTAATGTCCATTGATTCCATCATCAATTTTAGCAACAATCATTGGAATTGACGCCGGTGGGAAAACAAAAACTGTTGAAACACTCTCAACAACACACAACCAAATCGCATCATACAAAGCGAGCACTGTGCACAATTCACATTTCAAGCCGCCCCAAACAATTTATAGATAGCATTTTATGATGCTACAAAATATTCTCGGCCAGACAAAGCCGCCGAAACTCGTTAAACGAAATTATTTTGAAAAGGTGCAAAATAGCGAAAATTCAAGTGTTTGTACGGGTTTTTTTGGTCCCGTGTGCGCGTTCTCTCTCTCTTTCTCCCTCTTCCCTCTCTCTTCGTCTCTATCACACTCCCTCTGGTTCGCTAATTCCATAAAACGATTTGAACGTGGGCACACAAAAACGCCGTTTTTTATGCTGTGAAAGTAACATTCAGAAGTGTATCCATCAACAGTGATGAGTTAGATGCGATTTTGCCAACACTTTATATATTTCGAGAAAAAAATTGAGAGAAGCGACGCAAAAAACGGGATCGGTGGTAAAAAATTTGTTGAAAAGACAAAGTTTTTGATGTAATTATCGTTGAACATCGAAGAAAGTGGAAAATGCCCGAAGAAAACGAGGGCATTACATATGTTGAAGAAGAAGAAGTGAAAAAGAAGTGGAGAATACCGAGTGGCCGAAAGCAATGCCGAAATAAAATAACTTTGTACATACGATTTTGTTTATGTATTGTTCTTCTTTTGGCTTTTCGTGTTGTTTAATTGTGCGGTGTAGAGAAAAGTTGCTGCATTCACATTTCTTCTCACTTTGTCTATAGTTCTCTCCGTTCTCTCTCTCTCTCCCTCATTCCACCTCACTCGCTCGCTGTCAAAGAGTGTGAGAGACTCTCACCATGCACCTTTTTTTTCGGAAATGCCGCGTGGCCAAAGACACGCGAGAAAAGAGTAGCTCGTTATGAAGAAATCCGCTTAGCGAGGGAAAAAGAAGAGAAGAATGCAACGGTAAAAATGCCAGTGAATGTATAAATAGGTGCGATAAATTTGACAGAGAATACCCGTAAAAAAAGAACGCCAGAAAATTTCCCTGGAGATTGATTAGTAACGAGATTTTTTATGACACTTCATCCCTCCTTGTACGTTCAACAGCGGTGTCTCATTTTATCATGGATACTTTTTTTACGGTGCATGTCGCCACCAATTTTCTGCTTCGTTTTTCTGCTTCATTTCTGTACGAATTATTATGCAAAGAAGAAAAAAGGGAACACTTGAGCCAAAAGCGATTCGCCGACAGCAGCAACATACACACGGTAGTATCTGAGGCACATACACATACACCAGGTACATTTAAAAGAACGCGCGTAGTATTTTTCATTTTGATCGTGCTGTGCATGCACACGTGCAATAATAAAACCGCACAAAGGCTTTGCGAAAAGTCACACACACACACACACACAAACAAAAATGGAGCAAAGAGCTCATTTTCAACTAATAAACTCTTTGCACTTGTTCGGTTCGCAGTTGGCGATGCTTTATGAGCGACAAAGAGATGCCATATTATAATTTCCACTGACAAATATCAGCTATAAAAAAGTTTTTCGCGTATTCGTGTGCGTCGGTAAGTGCCGATAAATTGAAAAGTTCAGACCTTGACAACGAAAGGAGTTAATCATATTTTTGTTCTACTGTGTCGAAAGAAACAGAAAAAATGTGAATGTGATGAAGAGCAACGCATCCAATGTGGTGATACGTTGGAGAAAAAACGAAAATAATCGCGCATTGGCGCGCGCTCAAGTAAGACGGGTAATTTCAAAACACCGACAATAATGCGAGACAATGCAAGACATATCCAGACACTGGAACCCATTTAATCATTCCAAGTCGCCCATTTTTAACCTTTTCAAATTCAATTTTTTTTCTTCTTCTTCTCGTTCACTTCTTCTCTCAGCGCATATTTTAAATACTCTTGAAGAGTGCACGTTTGAGTGTGCCTTAGCTGAGACAAGAACACGGCAACAAAGACTTATGATATTTCGACGAAGGAAGAAAAAGAAATATGGATATCATTGTGCATGGGATCGAATGTCGAGTACATATACACCGAGCCCGGGTGCGCGCTTGTGTTGTGTGTTACTAATATTTGTTGCCTCGAACTTGATACAAATTTAATTTGACATACGATGCTGCTTACAACATTCGGCGACGACGTTTTCCACCGACGACTTTTCACCATTCGTTTTTTTTCTCCTCTTCTTCTTGGGTTGACAAATTGTGCCCGTTGCAAAATGAAAAACTGTAAATAATAAGTTTTTCCGCATTTTTGAGTTCGTTGTGATGCGAAAGATGTATTTCGGCGTTTAAGCTCGTTTCATTTTCTTCTTATTCGGCTTGTGATCACCTCATCGCATTTTGCATTCAAGCGAAAAACCTGACTAAGCGTTAAGTACGCTGGTAATGAAAATGGGTCACCGTTTCATTTTCCAAGGAGATAGTACAACCAACCAACCAATGAACGGACGGACGAAAAGAGGAATTAATTTCAGTTGACCTGAAAAAATGGTTGAATTCAATGCAGAACGGAGCTCTTTTTCGAAGTGTGTGTGTATTCGCATCGATAGCGAACGGGTTTTTTTGCTTTTCGATTTCCAAACAACAACAAAATGGGCAATTGGGCATTTCGTTTTCTCATCTGATAACCATTTTCATTGCAATTTTTTCAACCATTGATTTTTCTTCCATTTTTCTTTCGTTTTTCTTACCACTGCTGTTGTTGATGCTGCTACTTGCTGTTTCACCAGTATGACATTAAATATTCCGGTCATGAAAATCGCCCGAAAAATTTACTGCTAAAATCTGTAACAACAAATGTTCCATCCCAAGATTTAATACTAGGTTCATACTTTACGAATAGTAATAACAGTTGCAGCACAGCAACGACGACGACAACAATGTCGACGTCGTCGATGTCGGCAACTGGAACAATACGGCCAACATCGACGACAACAGCAATGGTCACTGCAGTCACAATGGGACCGACTACGACGACAACAGCTTCGGCGAATGCAACATCAATCGATTTAGATATTAATGTTCACGCTATTAAAAATATGTTAATGGCAACACGTGTGCCCGAAAGTTGTGTATAAATCACTAAAGACGAGCGCGCGAGCAGCATTCACGCGGCGCAACACTTTTTCCGACTACTCTCTGCCAACACACTCACGAGATGGGATGGACATAGAACACAAAAAAAAATAGAACGAAACAACAATATGTACCGGAAAATACAGAGAGCGAGAAAGAAATGGAGCAAGTGGAAAAGGTTTGTGTGTGTATATATTCATAGATATATATATATAAAATACGCCTATAGAGTATGTAAGTTAAGCATTTGAAATGTTTCGATAAAAAATATAGAGTACTTAAATGTATGGAGAAGAAGAAAAACAGAACAAAAAAAAACTGATAGCATTAATAATAGTGCAGCAAACAGGACAAAGAAATAGAGAGCAAACCTCTGTAACGAACTATTTTACTGGGAAATTGAAGAAAAACAATGAAACGAAATCAAATGACAAATGGTAAAATATTGAAAGCGAAACGAAAGAAGGAAGAGAAATATCACAGGCGTTACACAGAAGATGAATAAAAAGAACACAC